GCGGGGCGGCTGGCGGCGGCTGCGCTCTCGGCGGCCGGCCAGGCGGTCCGTCAGTCAGCTACGCGGGCGCAGAGCGAGCGCTGCGAGGCTGCGGCCGGCGCGCGAGGACAACGCCGCTTTATCGGGTCGGAAACAGCCGCTCCGCGCCGCTTCCGCTGACGCAGCGCCGGCCTGCGCCTCATGACTATGCAGCGGTCGCGGGGGGCGGGGCCTGCGCCGCGCGAGCCCATTGGCCGCGACCGCCACCCGCCCGAGAGGCCACGCCCCCTCCGAGCGGCCCCGCCCCTCCAAGAGACCCGCCCCGGACCGCCCCGCCTCCTGATGGACCCTCACCGCCGTGAGGCCCTAGCACCCGCCCTGCCTGACCCCAAACTTGTTCAAGTACCTGCACCCACCCGGAGCCCTTTACCCCCTCTACTTCCGCCCCTGCATCACCAACCTTCCTCACTCCTGGGCAAACACCCTCCTTACTCTGTCTGATCCCACAGGGCCTCCCTAACCCCAAAGGGCGGCTGGTGGGTCCCGCCCCCAGAGCTGCACCCTCCTGTGCAGCAAACCTGCTTCTAGTTACTTCCTCTTGCTCCCCACCTCACTGGGTAAGCCTCCTGGGTCACTCCTTCCCACTCCTTTCCTCCGCCTTCCTTGACCACCTTTGGCACAGCCCTGGAGAGCTACGTAGGACTCGGCCCAGACAGCCTGCAGAAGCCTCCATCAGGTGTCTTCCCACGTTTAGAATGACCAAAACCTCTGAGAGGGGCAGCTGGAAAGCCCATTACGATGAGATCAAGGAAGGCAGAGAACAAATGAACAAAGAGATGAAGTGACTGTCAAAGTCAGAATAGGTGAGGGCCTAGTCACATCCCAGCCCTAAGCCATCACCAAGGTTTAAGAGTCTTTGGACACATTCCTTCACCTTTCAAAGTCTTGGCATCTTGGTCTATTGTGGCCATAAGATCCATTTCAAGGGGTTTGGAGGGAATTTAGAAATAGCATGACTTATGAGGCCTCCAGAACAGCTAAAATGGGAAAATCTGACAATACCAAGTGTTGGCAGGGAAGCGGAGCAACTGGAACTCCTACAGGACCAGTGGAAACTTGAGGGGTACAGCGGTGTTGGAAATCTACTTATAAGGCCCTGGTTTTACTCTCAAAGGTATACTTGATTTCATATCTCTGTCCAGAATAGCGTTGCTTGTAGTACCCCAAACTGGAGACTACCCAAAAACTCATTAGCCATTAAAAGAATATACAAAATAGGATAGATTCAGATAGTGAAGTGATGGCAATAACAGTCATTTACAATTATATGTAACATGGGTACATGTGTGACTTAAAAATGGTGTTGAGCAAAAAAAAAAGAAAAGCCAGACACTAAAAACTGTAAGTTCCTATGTACATAAAAGTAGAAGACAGTGTGTAGCTGGTATTGGAACTCAAGACAGTGGTTAACCTCGAGGGAGGGGTGCTCCAACCAGGAAGTGGCAGTAGAGGGTGTGTCTGTGAGCTGGAGGTACTGTTTCCTGGTCTGGGTGCTGGTGGCACCGTGTGCTTATTTTGTTTTAGACTCTAGGTCTACAGTCAAGATATGTGTGCCAGTAAGTTGTGTTGCCGCATATCTGCGATCCCAGTACTCTGGGAAGCTGAGGCAGGAGGATTACAATCTCAAGCCCAGCCTGTGCAATTTAGTGAGTAATCTAGACACTGCCTCAAAATTAAAAAATAAAGAAAGGGCTGAGGATGTAGCTCAGTGTGAAGGCTCAGATTCAGTCCCTAGTACTGTACACAAAGAAAGACTCCCCTGCCTTTCCCGTGTGTGCTCCACTCAGAGAGCTAAGATGCCAGTGGTGTACACACACAGAGCTCAGAGCAGTACCTGACAGTTGAGAACACACATCACTGAATATGTTTCTCCTATTGTCTTTAACTCCTATGGCCAAATGATAGAAGCGGAGGCAGTTCTAGCCATGCAGCTTGTCACCTGTGTGACCCAGGCACCTTCCTGAGCCTCTCTGAGTCCTTATCTGAAGGAAGCTTTTTAATAATATCAGTTTACTGTTGTCACCATGATTAGATAAAAGATTAATAATGTATGCTTTTTAAAAAGAGTACAGGAAGGAGCACTAAGTAAGGATATAGGAACTGTTTAATCATTTATGAGCTGCTGGTATGTATTGAATCTTTTCCATTTTCATTCATCAGCAAACAGTGAATGTGTGTATGTGCCTACCATGTCTACCTGCCGTTCTGAACTCTGGCATTAGAACTGGGGGCGCCCCTATCTTTCTTTAAGGACGCCATTGTGGAGTAGGAGATGCGTGTGGATGAGAGAATGTGGGTAAGAGAAGGTGCTGTGAAGCCCAGCGCAGGATCTGACTCCGCGGTGCTCCATAAACTGTCCTCAAAGAATACATGAATGCAGTATGAAAGCGTAAGTGTAAGTCTTCTTGAGAATGAAATTTGGAAAGTAGTTTTTAAAGTGTGGAAGCATCGAATATATTTATTTCTATGACCTGCAGTTAGTCACGGAGATCAGACAAGGTGAGGTTAAGGAAAAGCCAGCCCTGACTGTGGACGTGTGTCACTACTGTCCCTCATTTAGTGCCTGTGTGTGTGTGTGTGTGTGTGCCTTCAAGGGGACCCAAGCAGGGCTACCCTTCCAGCACTCTGTCCCAGCCTGGCCAGCCAGGATCTCATCTCAAAGGCAGCTGCCAGGAGTGTGTGACCTGTGGCTCCATAGTCCTGTTGCCCATGGCAGCCAGGGAATGAGGACCTCAAAGTCCCCACAGGACTTCTCCCCACTCCTCCTTGAATGGCTAACCTCAGTCCTGTGAGGACACAGCTCAGCGTGGAGCAGCCCTTTTACCCCAGATCAGAAAGCCCTGAGTCTGGTTTGGCTCCAGAGCAGGGTGCAGCCAGGTGGACCCTGGGGCCCTACCATGCTGGGGGAAGCTGTAATTGGTCCCGGTCCTAGCCTCAGATGAGCTCTAGGCTTGGCTTACTATTCTGCTGTTATAACAGGAAGGTGGCCCCCGGAGTAAAGGCTGGGGGCTGGTGAGTGGTGCAGGCACCTGGGAACCGTCAGGGGCCAGATGTTCCACATTCCTGCTAGGCCTGGCAGGTCTCCCACGTCCGCTACCCTCTCACACCAAGTGGCTGTCTGTGTTGCCCCTCTGAACCTACCTCTGGACTTGGCACCTACCAATTTTTCTTCTGCAGAAATGTCCTGCTGTGGAAATGTCTGGTAAGCAATGACCTTGGACTTCCCCATTCCTGGAGAGGGAAGTGTGTTAAAACTCTGTGTAAACCGGGATGGCCCAGATTTCACTCTACTGAACAACCATACACCTGATCATTAATTGAAGCCCCCTCCATATCTTGCTAGACTCCCCTAAAGACTGGGGGTGAGAAATCCTCTCCAGACAAGGCAGCCCTGAATACGGAGGAAAGAGAAGACATGTCCCAACTGGACAGTCCCTTGGTGGACACCTCCTCTGCTGATTTAGAAGTCTTTTTTTTTTTTTTTTTTTTTGCAATAAGCATTTTTTTAAAAAAAGCTTGTTTGCAAAATCTCTCATGTCAGTCAGCATGCTCACTTGCTGCCAGGGATTTCTGAGCTAAGGTTTGAGCCAAGCCTTTTCCTGAATCTCAGGGTTGATGTTCCAGCTGTGCCTGCCATGCACTTCCAGGGTCCCCTCCCTGTTCCTGTTCCTCATCATCTAGGAGCTGTGCTTCAGTGATGGGGAAAGCAGAGACCCCCCAGGACTCTGCCCCTTAAGTACCTAGTTGCTATGAGCCCCCTGCAAAGTGGAGGGGCGAGCACTCCCCAAGAGAGTGGGGCCACACCCTACAGTCCCAGATCTCCAGAAAGCTAAGCATGCTGCTGCCCAAAATTGGGTCTGAGACCTTCAAGGGCACACATGTACTGAAATATCCTGCACCTCAATTCCTATCAGGGCTCCAGGTGCTTAAGTTGTCTCCAAAGCCAAGAGCTTCCTGGGGTCACAAAGTTTCTAGGTCTGATGGCTTCTTAGAGTTATGTAGTCTCTCAATGGCATGTGACCACTTGTGGGGGGTTATATGGCTTGCTATGATCATGGGGCTATAGGGACGTATGCTACCTAGAGTCATATAGTAGCCAAGGGCTACACAATTGCGAGGAGTCACCCACCTACTTGGTCACTGAGTGAACCAACATCATCAAGCTTCCCACATCATGTGGACCCTGGGTCATGGGCTCTCCATGTAGACACATTTCATTAGAAGTTCAGGCTCCAGGGCCAGGGAGATAGCTCAATAGAATAAGTGCTTGTCTGGCAAGTGCAAGGGCCTGAGTTCAATCCCAGGTTCTGAAAAAAGAAGAAGAAGAAGAAGTTCAGGCTCCTGTCACCCTGCCTCTGCATGCTGGGTGAGCCCCAACACCTCCTGAGCCTTGGTTTCCTGGACTGTGATACAGGAAACTTCTGTTCCTACAGCACAAGGCAAGGCGGGAGGGGCTTGGGCTGGGGACAGGTGTAGGGGTGGGAGGAGCTGGTGGCAAGTTCCTGTTCTGGGGTGGGCACATGTCAGTACTGTGCTAGACCTTTCTCAGTAATCAGCTATCCCACAAGTGAACACATATGATAAATAAATAAACTGGACACCTGTTTGGTCTAGGTTTGAGGGGCCTCAGAGTTTGGCTTCTTTTCTGAGGGTAAGGGAGCCTTGAGGGGTTGTCAAGGGGCCAGATGGGGCTGTGCGTGTGTTTGGATAGGTGTGTGGGGGTGAGCAATAGGAAGGAGGAGCCCAAGGAAAGGGACTGCTTTTCTGCTTCTGAGGAGGTAAGAGACCAGCTGGGGCTAGCAAGATAGCTGTGGACTGTGGTGCAGTCTGAGCACTGCACAGGGGTGCTGCT